AAAAAAAAAAATAAAAAATAAAAATACAACTTTAAATAACGTGAAAAATATTTTGAGAAATCTATGTAAGTTTGAAAAATTAAATTGTTCTTATTTATAACTGCTAACACAATATATATTGCAAACCATTATCACTGTAAGAAATTAACAACTTACAGTATTACAAATTATCTCTACGAGACGTAAAAGCAATTAAGCTTATTATTCAAATAATAAATTTTTAATGCTATGCGGTTTAGAATATCACGTGTTAAAGGATGAAAAAAAATTTTTTAGCTTGTTTTAGAATTGAATTATTTTCTAAACATTTTGCTGTTTGAAATCTCGTACTTCTTTAACATGTTGAATAATAGTTTCAATTTTTGTAAATAAAACATATGCAAGTATTAAAAGAACTTATAGAATCACGAGAGTTACGGTCACAAACAGTTTTCATTGTATTGTACAACTTCATTCCAATAAAATATTAAAAATATGATTAAATTGTAATAATTGTTAATGAAAATGAATTTAATTTATAATCTTAAAATTTACACGAACTTTTTAAACGAGTATAATTAGAAAATTGATATATAATATCATGTTTTACGTAATATATCGAAATATATGATGGTTAAAATTTCTTATCGCGATTCTTATGTTGCAAGAAATGTTTGAGAACCACTGAGAATGCACGAGGATCGCTGTATTTCATCATTCACCAATTTTTATGAAATTAAGAACTATGGCATCATTTGTGGTACCGGTTGCAACGAGATTTACTCGTGTCACGATTGATAGTTTGCACAATATAAATAAAAATATTTTACTTAGGTAAGATTCTATATTTCGTAGTTTATTATATTGTTAAAATATGTAACTTGTATTTATATTGCAAGGTACATCTAGAGGTTAGAATGTTAAATAATGTTTATTTATTATTTTATTATCGTAGTAATTTTTTAAATAAAATTGTAATATATTTAATAAAGATGATTATATTTTCAAAATTGTTAAAGATTTAAATAAAACCTTATGTAGTTATTTGTACATATTCTTAATATAAGTTTTTAATAATTTTCTAAAATAACAAATATTATTAAATAAATAATAAAAATATTAATTTTTTTTTATTTATTTTTTAAAGAAAAGAAAAAACATAATGTCTTACAAATTTTTTTTGATGATTTAAAGGTTAATTCAACCATCACATGTTTCTTGGCAAAGACAAGAGTATAGTACAATTACAGAAGAACAGAAGTCAGAAAGTGGAGAACCAGTATTGGAACTTACAGAAAATGAAAGGAAATTAAAAGCAGACATTGAACTTATTAATAAGGAATTAATGGATCTTAAAAATCATAAAAATGAATTAGAAGACAAATATAAAAGAGCACTTGCTGATGGAGAAAATCTTAGAGTTAGATTAAACAAACAAATTCAAGATGCAAAAATGTTTGGTATTCAAGGTTTTTGTAAGGATCTCTTAGAAGTAGCAGACATTTTAGGCAAAGCTACAGAAAGTGTACCTAAAAATGAACTCACAGAAAAAAATCCACATTTAAAAACATTATATGAAGGTTTAAAAATGACAGAAGCACAGTTACATAAAGTAATTAAAAAAAATTCAACTATTTTCATAATTTTCAATAACAAATTTAATAAAACATTATTATATTTATTACTTTAAATTATGTTTATATAGGTATTTAAAAAACATGGTTTAATTTCATTAAATCCACTGAATGAAAAGTTTGATCCTAATCAACATGAAGCATTATTTCAACAGGTAAATTTCTTCTTTTTTATTTATGTGAACAATAATGTATTAAATAAATAACAATAATAATAAAAAACATATTTTGACATAGGAAGTTGAAGGTAAAGAACCAGGAACAATTGTAGTTGTATCTAAATTGGGTTATAAATTACATGAACGAGTAGTAAGACCAGCATTGGTTGGTGTTGCAAAAGGATAATTCATGGTTATGTCAATTAAAATGAGATTAAATGCAATCTCATAAAAGGTACCCGTGAATGAAATATTGGCAAATATATATT